ATGCACTATACAGAGTATGAGACGCCCTCACATGTACGCTTGATGCAAGTTTGTACGTGGACGTATATGGGTAATTCCACAAAGTTGGGTACAGAATGTGTGACATGAGGGTGAGTTTTTCAAAATAATGTGAAGAGCACTAAAATAACTTTTTTAGGTGCTGACATATATGTAGTGTCTAAAATAATAAACCATTTTGAGACATCTTGTCAAACGTTTTATTTTTAACAGTGTTGTTTATTAACAGATGCAAAGCAAGTTTCACATGTAACATGGACACCAAACATGAGGAATCACCTTTCCCATTGTTATTTTATAGAATTGATATGCTCCAAGTATAGAATGTATTTAAAAGGGCTTGATAAGTACATTAATTAAATTCATACATTTTTTGGCTAATCGTTATGAGATTATTGAAATCAGCTGTTGTTCACTCACATGAAATGGGCAAATTATATAAATTTGGCCCTTCATACATATTTTTTCTTGTATTGTCTGTTCCAAAAATGTTTGTCTACACCAAACGTGTAAAACACAAGGAAGCAAACCCACACGTTCAACTTATTTTGCCATGTTACCATTTCTTTTACACAAGACAGTATCCATGCAAAATAATTTTGTGGTTTCACATGTAACAATGACACCAAAATATTGGTGTCCTGTTACACGTGAAACTGATATATGGATTATAAGGTAATAAGCTTTAAACTTGATAAAAAATGAGTAAAACTTCATTTATATTAGTTAAAAATGAACAAATTTGAAACATCAGCTGAAGATGTGAGTGTGTTTAGCTTTGAGACTCCCATATTGGACAGGGTTGGGTTTCACATGTAACATGGATGCCAAATTATTGAACGTTCTGATTACATCTCAAGATGTGATGCCTAAACCATTTTGCCGTCCCCATCCTTCCCGTATCCCGTCCCTACCCTCCCCTACCCCACCCCACCCTCCCCCACTCCATTCCCACCCTTCTAGTACCCATAACATATTGGACAGGGTTGGGTTTCACATGTAACATGGATGCCAAATTATCGAAAGTTCCGATTACATCTCAAGATGTGATGCCTAAACTATTTTGCGGTCCCCATCCTTCCCGTATCCCGTCCCTACCCTCCTCTACCCCACCCCACCCTCCCCCACTCCATTCCCATCCTTCTAGTACCCATTACATAACAGTGTTGTAGTCGAGTCCATCACAAGTCCCTGCAAGTCCATCATAAGTCCATCACAAACAATTCAGTCTTAATCAGGTAATAAACTTTAAACTTGATAAAAAAATGAGTAAAACTTCATTTACCGGTATATTAATTAAAAATGAACAAATTTGAAACATCCGCTAAAGATGTGAGAGAGTTTAGCTTCGAGACTCCCATTATTGGACAGGGTTGGGTTTCACATGTAACATGGATGCCAAATTATCGAACGTTCTGATTACATCTCAAGATGTGATGCCTAAACCATTTTGCCGTCCCCATCCTTCCCGTATCCTGTCCCTACCCTCCCCTACCCCCCCCCCCCTCCCCACTCTACCCTCCCCTTCCCCACTCCATTCCCACCCTCTAGTACCCATTACATAACAGTGTTGTTGGATGCATTGTTCCTTGGATTAACCATTCCCAAATGGATGAATTTACTGAACATGCTGAAGCCTAAATCAATGCAAATTATGAATTTATTTCTTAGGGGAAGATTTTTTTTTAGTTTTGTACTATTCATTCTTATGTGTTTTGTTTCTTTTGTTTGAAAAAAATGTTGAAATATCTTAATTCAAACCAGAAAAAGAAAATCACATGATGCTCCACCCCCATTATGAGAATGGAATGGTCTGGCGGTATCCTAGCCCCATAAATGTGGCCTATTTACTGGACTGCTTCCGTAAACATAGGCCACACGTCCACATGTACAAAAATCGTGTCGACTTTGCCAAATTTTGATTTTCACATTTAGGCTTAGTTTGTAGGATTTTTTTGCTTTAGAAGCATACTCACCCACTTTATGGGCTAGTCAGAAAGTGCTGCCTTTTTCAGATGTCTAATTTTTGTGAAATTTCATGTTGAAATTTTGATACGCAAACGTGTAAAAATGAATCTGGAAATTTCACGAAAAATATACATCTGAAAAAGGCAGCACTTTCTGATTAGCCTATAAAGAGGGTGAGTATGCTTCTGAAGCAAAAAAATCCTACAAACTAAGCCTTAATGTGAAAATCAAAATTTGGCAAAGTCGACACGATTTTTGTACATGTGGATGTGTGGCCTATGTTTACGGAGGCAGTCCAGTAAATAGGCCACATTTATGGGGCTAGCGGTATCCTGGCCTGTGACCAATCAATGTTGACACTTCCCCTCTTATTTTAGACTAACTTCAGTAAAAATCACCAACTTTCGAACCCCCTTCAAACAGATAAATGAAAAGGACCCCATTTTTAATAGATCAGACGTTGACCATCCAACGCAGGCAAAAGCACAGGCCAAAACACAAAATCGTACCACACCGTCGCATGGAAACCACGTCGTGATATTTCCATTACGATGTGCAATTTCAGTTAGGGTTTCGGGACACATATTTAGCGTCATTTGTGAAAGCTTAGCCTCTTCTAGTCCGAGTAACTTGGACCCAACTTATCGCCTTTTTTAACATTTTGGACATGGTCTGGCGATAGTGGGGTCCAAGCTAATACCGCGACCTGGACAACATCATCCTGTCACTGTCCTAAACCAACATTTTCCAACAAAAAACATCAGATTTCACCTTCAAAACGGCCTCCAAATTACTAGATATGCCACCTGAAGTACAAGTAGACATCGATGATTAAGATGGTTGTACTTAAGTTTACTTACGATCCGGAAGAAAAGTGAAATTTTCCGTTCATTTCGGAGAGCTCCCCTCGCGATCTTGAACACGTTAAATTTCCGATCGTGTTTAATGTTTGAACGACGCGATTTCTTCTACATGCCCAGTGTACATTCAATGGTCCCCGTATCCCGTGTGCGATTCCGTTACCGAGCGCGCGCGATGCACGATTATGATAATGAGTCACGTTTGTAAACACATACATGTGCATTTTGAACTGTAAAAGGGAATCGGGAACCAGCTTGAACTGGTACCCGCCATAAAAGCTGCGCTAGTTCCCGACTCCCTATTATCGTTTGAAATGCACATGTGTTTACAAACGTGATCCAGTCTACTCATTATCATAATCGATGCATCGCGCGCGCTCGGTAACGGAATCGCACTCGGGATACGGGGACCATCGAATGTACGCTGGGCATGTAGAAGAAATCGCGTCGTTTAAACATTAAACACGATCGGAAATTTAACGTGTTCAAGATCGCGAGGGGAGCTCTCCGAAATGAACGGAAAATTTCACTTTTCTTCCGGATCGTAAGTAAACTTAAGTACAACCATCTTAATCATCGATGTCTACTTGTACTTCAGGTGGCATATCTAGTAATTTGGAGGCCGTTTGACCGTGCATGAACATGTTTTATGCCAAATCACGGAAATGGAATATCACGTCGTCACGCGGTTACCATTTTGTTTCGTATCCATTCCGTAGCTGAAGTGCAGGTTTTAGCGTGTCAACTATACTGCAACAATTGTTTGAGATGTTATTCATGTTTCAGCATACACAGGGAGTAGTTCTTCGGGATTACCAGGCACCGTGTTGATAAATCTGTAATCTAACCCTTGTTTGTCCTCCCCGAATGTGGTATACCTCGTAACTGACACCACACCGTAAAAAAATGACACCAAAACTATTGGCACCCACGATGGAAAAGTTGCCGAAAGCACGCGGGTTTCTTCTTGCAACAAAGCAAGGGTTGCATCCGGGTACTTTGATCGCAAGACGTTCATCCAGAAAATCTATAGAGGGCGCACGCGCGATCGCATTTAATTATCACGTCGTCACGTTTTTTAGTGGATGCGAAGTCAACTACCAGTGAGTAACCACGGTTGTTTTTTAAAAATCGTGTAGTTTTTTTCATGATTTCTGGTTGGATACGAATGGAATGCTACTGTTTCTCGTGGAAATCGTTATTTGGGTCTTCTAAATGACTCTGACATTTTACAATATGTCGGTAAATTTCGGTTTCACCTCGCAACATTGCTGACACGAAATGTTACGATGGGCGCTGAGACTTCCGTGATCGATACTTCAGAAATGCAAGACGCATGGAATAAATAACAATCAGGGAATCGTAAACGGTCTATTGGTTCAACTTTATTTGCAAAACATTATTTAAAATATACTCTTGGGAACACAGAATCGTACATTGAAGACCGAGTATGTTTCATGTCACAAAATATTCTTAAAATAAACATGGATACCATGATATTTTGGTGACGTAGTTTGGGTTTCGACCAATTGGAGGTCCCAAAAAAATGTTTTTTCTTGTTCGCCCATTCATCCTCAATAAATCGGGATCGATAAAAAATGTGATTAATTTGTCAAAAAAAAAAATAACAGCACTTTGTTTTCACTGGACCACTGTCACTGATGCATTGATTGTGTACCCAACTTCATGGAATGACCCATGTACATTATATCGAGGAGATATACAATGTATGTGTATACATGCAGCTCCATGTTCATGTGTATTATTAAAGCTATAGTCCATCATTTGCAGCCATCCGAAAAGTAACTGGCGTAATTATTGTGGAAAAACGTACTTGGTTGAAAGATAGTAAGGGGAATAAACTCCCTGTGAAATTATTCTTTCTGGCAAGCTGTCGTTTTGAAGTAATCAACGAAAGAAGGCCTTTCCAACGGTGTGTCTTAAGATGCACCGTAGGAAAATTTAAATTAGTAGTTCGTTTTGTTAAATTTCAGCGAAGCGCGCGCAAGCAAAAAAAATGCAGTCAGGCAAGATGGCGTCGGTCGGTCACCCCCAACTGTACTTTCTTTGCCGGCGAGGGGGTACTTGTGAACGGAGCGGATATCCGTGCTTGATTTATTCTTAGTATTTATTTTGTTATCTTCCTCGCTGCAGAGAAAACCTACCAAGTCACTTCAAAGTCAAGGAATACTGCCCTCTGGTGTTCAGGAACTTGAGGGAACGATTCAACGTCACAGATCTGGAATATCAGGTTTGTAAGAAATCAACCAGGTTTACATGATAGATCACGCCTTCAATGCTCCACCTCATCCGAGTCCAAGCCAAGCTGAGTCCACGAAGGCTTGAGTCTGAGCCAAGTCCAAGTCCGGCTCAAGTCCCTGAACCAAGTCCAAGTCTGGCTCAAGTCCGAGTCCAAATTGTCAAGTCAAATTCGAGTCCAGTCACGGAAGGGTTTTTATTAGTGGTGGAATTTGAAACTGGATTTTTTTTTAAAATTCAGTTTGAATTCCACTATTTGGTTTGGATTTTGGAAACCAAATATTCAAAACCATCCTTAAATAAATGAGGCCTTCCATTATAATACATCACCAAATTTGCTCCATGGTCTCTGATTGTAACTGCATTCACTCACACTATACCAGATCATCATAGACGGCAATGCATGTGGACCTCACGCCGCATGTACAAGTTTAGACTCGAGTCCTCCATCACTGGTAAATGTGCAAAGCAGTTAACTTGCTACGCAAATTGTGCTAAGCTAAAAGCAGCGGAGAACCAGTTAGAGCAGAATGAAACCAGTGCCATTTTGACCGTTAACCTGTTTTTGGTAAGCGATTATTACTCTGCGCTTAGGAAATTCCTACAGTTAGTACATGTAGCTCCTTGAGATATTGACCCTGCAGGACCAAATTTTGAATTTTTTGGGCTAAGCACAGAAAATAGTTGCTTAGCAAAACCGGGTTTACCAGCCAAAATGCCATGTGATGCAAATTACTTGTGACTGGTTCCCAGCTTATTTTTGCCTAGCATCAAATTTTTGCTAAGCAACAATTTCTGGCTTAAACATTTAGCACTTGTAATAAATTGTATTACATTACACGGTATTTACTCCTCCATACAATTAAATCAATAAGAGCCTTAGGAGTGCTGCCAGGGCAGTTTTGGGGCGGTATAAGGAGTAACAGGCAGGGCAGTTTCGGGCGGTGTAAGGGCAAATGGGTTAACAGCTGTGCATGAAATTGGGCCTGATCTAGAATATGCAGCTGACCTTGGGGACAAAAAGTTACCCTGATGTTAAAAAGTGTTAACTGTTTCCTGCCAGGAATTTAAAGGTCACTGTCATGACAGCACGCACGTGTACGCAATTGTTAATTGCCAACAAGGACCAATCCTGAATAGACCAGCAGGTTCCTTTAATTATTTCCTGCCTGCTTCCTGACCAATATCAACCAGCTCATGACTTCCCCCCTCTGTTGGGCCTTGCCTCGTTAATATGCAATCAGCTACCCTAGATTATTACAAGGTCCCCCTGTTTTTTTTTTTATATTCATCCATTTTTTTTTTTTTGGCCAAATGATAAAACCACCTGTGTGACTAGACATGTGAGATCCCGGTTCAAATGGCTGGGCTGGTTGTGCGGGGTCATTAGTTATTGAGGCGGGTTAAAGGGGCAGTCCAGTGGGAGGAGAAATGAGATACACAAAGACTTGGCTTGTTGCGTAGGTGAGCTGGACCCAACATTTCATTGGAGGACATTAGCCCTAACCCTTCTCACAATCCTCCAAAATCCTCCTGATGGTTTTGGAGGATTTTGAAGGGTTGAGGATGAAAGCAAATCTGTAATTTTGGAGGATTGAGGTTGAATGGTGTTTGAAGAAGGGAGGATTTTGGGGGATTGAGGCTGAATTGCATTTTGAGAGGCAGGGCTGTTGGAGGGTTTTGAAGGATTGAGGCAGTGGGTATCCTTCATTTGAACATTTGAGTGCAAACTTTTGGAAGATTTTGGAGGATTGAGGATGGTTCCTAGCAAAAAAAGGTTAGGGTTAGATATCTGTAGACCATCTGAGCACGCTGTTGCCCCTTCAATGGCTGCAGCATTGCGCATGCTATTGTTCAGGGTAACTTTATGTACATGTACATGTACATGTATTATAGAATAGCTGCAACAATGCTTTTGCCATTAAAGGGAATATACAACATTTGCAAACATCAAAATATAAAACTACCAAATCATTTTGAAATACCTTGCTGGACTGTTAGTGAATGACAGTGTAAAGCATCCTGTAAAATCATGGCACCTGGTATACTGTCATTTTCAAGAAAAGTGGTATTTTTGTATCAATTTCCAACGCTGGTCGGCCGACCAGCGTTGGAAAAAACTGGCTTTTTTTTTCAAATACTGGCCCCGATTGACCATCGCACTTGTTTGCAATCGATTACACACCTATGAACGGGTACAAGCCAGCTAGACTGGTTCCCTGACCTTATAATTCCCCAATGTATGTAAACTGCTCTGTTTCTTCTTATATGGAGTCAGGGAACCAGACTACAGGAAAATGATTGTCTTTCTTGGTTTTTATAGCATTTTCGAACCCAAAACCTCAAAAAAGTCAGTGTAACTATATTTGCTACATGTATATATTTCCAACCCCACAATTCCATCCATTTCTGAAAATTACAGCAAAAGCAAATGATGTACGTGTATATTCCCTTTAGAGGTCCTACATGTACATTGTACATGAGTTTAATGTGACAGCATGCTCGGAATGATGGACTACCGTAACTCAGTCTGTCAGTGACTCAGTCACAAGACAATAACGCGCTTCAGGTCTGGTAGCAATGGACAACATGGCAGCATAATGAGTTTGTAGCTGTTAAAGACATACCTATGTAGGTTCATTTGCATTTATCCAAAAAGTAGCCTGCCGATAGCAAATGATTATCAAAAAGCATATTTGCCTTAAAGATCGTATTGGCACTAAAAACACCGTGAAATTAGTTCGTCTGGCTTGCTGTCATTTAGAAGGAACAAAAAATGGAGTGGATTTCCAACGTTTGGAATATTGACTGATCGTTGGAAATACTGAGTTTTATCGATGAAATCATGTTTTGTGATCAAAGGGCTGTGCATGGTTTTTAAACTGTTTTCTCAAAAAAGTGTAATACCCACTGAGCTGAAATTTCAATAGTTAAAGGTTTGAACATTCTTTTTTAGATTTTGCGTTGTTTGAAATGAACAAGATGCATGAAAAGCAAGTGATCCTATGGGCAATTCCACGGTTACTCACGTTACATTTTGTGCGTCTTGTTTATCATGTACATAACACATTTTTCTGGATGTCATCTTTGGTGCTTAGGTAGGTCTAGGTCTACTCTATCTACCATGGGGATAACAGTTATTAAACCTTTTCAGTAAGGGAATTACAGCCCAAGGAAACTCAAAAGTACATCAAAAATGTAACGTGAGTAACCGTGGAATTGCCCCTATGCATCTAAAAGAACGAGCTTACTGTAGAATCAAATTTCACCTTCTGCGTAGTGTGTGAACTTTCATGTTTCATTTCCTAAATTGTAAAAAGGATTCACTCAATGAGCTCTCTACATTGTACACAATGTACATGTTCCTTTATGCCTCTGTAAATATGACAACGATAGTTGCAGTTGGTGAGAGCAGTTCGGGTCACAATCTCCATCTTGATTTTCGTTCACAGGAATTAAAAAAAAAGACATGTACACGTTCACAAAACGTGTATGGTTTTCCACAATTTGTGCAGCATTTGCATTATTTGGGTTTTTTTTATCTCCCACAGTTGGAGTCCCAACGGACCCCCCCCCCAAGGTTTTTCCAAACTGTTTGAGCATCACTGAGCATACAGTGCAAAATCAGTGAATGAGGAACTTTTTTTTCATTCAGAAAATTGATGGGCTTTGTCCATGTTCAAGCCTTGCGGTCTGTGTCCGAGGACATGTAACATGTTCACTTCCTCTGTTCATGATTGATAACTGAACCGTTTCCTTCTGTCAACCGACAGGTACATTGTAAACATTGTGATTCCTGTACAATCATATAGTGCACAGTTGTGATTGAACGTTTTTAAAGATGTAATAATCGTGAGTCATTCATGTACCGTACACGTTATACATGTACGTGTACGTGTACCAGAAGTTGCGGCCTAATGGTCAGTTAAAGGGAACAATTGCAAACATCGAAAAATAAAACTACCAAGCTTTTACGAAATACCTTACTAGGATGTTGGTAAGTGACAGTCTGAAACATCCTGTAAAATTATAACAACTGGTATCAAGTCATTTTCAAGAAAACTGTATTTTTGTATACATTTCCAACGGTGGTCGGCCGACCACCGTTGGAAAAACCTAACTATTTTTCAACAACTGCTCCAAATTTACATTTTTTTTCAGTCCAAATTTTGTTTGCTATTGGTTACATGTTCATGAACGGGTGCAGGCCAGCTAGACTGGTTCCCTTACCTTACAATTTTCCAACAACTATAACTTGATCCATTTTATCTTTAGTGGAGTCAGGGAACCTGACTACTTAAACTTTTTTGTTGTTCTTGGTTTTTCAAGCATTTTCGAACACAAAACTTCAAACATGTCAGTGTAACAATAATTTGATCTTATACTAACCCCTCAAATAGTTCATTTCTGAAAATTAAAGCATAAGCCAATGATGTACATGTACATTCCCTTTAAAGGTAATGTACATGTACAAATGTACAACATTTGCAAACATTACAAAAATGAAACTTCTTAAATATAATGAAATACCTTACATGTACTTAACTGTAAGTGAATAATAGTCTCAAGCATCCTGTGAAATCATGGCACCTGGTGTGCTGTCATTTTCAATGAAAGTGGAAGGGAGGGTTTTGAGATGTGAAAATTGCCTTCCAGTTCCATGTTGATTTTGCGCCAAGAACCAACGGCCTTGAGCTGTTGTTATTTTCAGTTTCATATGTTGCATCAACAGTTCTTATCTAGTTGACTAGTGCATGACTGTAATCTAAGCAAGGAACCTTCTGACCAGTTTGTGCTAAGCGAAAATTTTACCTGCTTAGCAAAGTGGTCCCAGAATCGTTGTCCACCATAATTTCATATGTTGCATCAACAGTTCTTATCTAGTTGACTAGTGCATGACTATATAATCTAAGCAAGGAACCTTCTGACCACTTTGTGCTAAGCGACAATTTTACCTGCTTAGCAAAGTGGTCCCAGATTCGTTGTCCGCCA